CAACACATCAACTGCCTTCTCATGTAATTTAGCTTTCTCGGCTTCCGATTTGCCTTCAACAAGATCAAGCTTACGGATCTCTAGTCCTCCTTTGAGTCCTCTTAAGCTTCCCAGTTCTTCAATTTTACGTCCCTTTGTTGTACTTACAAAAAACAATGGCAATGTCTGTAGGTTGGTTAGTCTCCCAAGGTTTGCAGGCATACGTTCTTCATCATTGAAATAAATATGCCTCAAGTTGATTAAATCTCCTATTCCTCCTGGAGGCATTTTAAGAGATTTGCAGTTTGTGAATCTAAATGTCTGTAGATTGTACAACTCGGAGATAAATTCGGGCAGTTCTTTCATTTGAGTTCGTGAAATGTCCAAGTACCTCAACCTCTTCGAGTTGCCAAAGCATGTTGGCAATTGTTTTGCATCAGAAGCATCATCAAGGCTGAGAACTCGTAACCTTTTAAGATCCACTTGCACACCACTAGAAAAAACATGCTTGGAAAACAATGTCTGCAACTTCTTAGCAACATCTTCTAAAATTGTTGGCACCATTTCCCTCCCATCAATTAGATTCAAATGTCTAACATCATGAGAAATATTGCTTCCAAGCCACTTCTCAACAATCAGCGTCTCAAATTTTGAAATTGACCGAGCAAAATCATGAATCAAATCATGCATCTTACAAGATTTAACACTCCCAGTTACATTATCCCTCCGTTCCTCTTGAAATAGGGAATATGATAACAAATATCTGAAATACTTGTCACCAATATCTTCTGCTGCCATATAACTTTCTTCAGATGATTCAAGAAATCCTTGAGCCATCCAAAGTTGAATTAGCATCTCCCTTTCCATGACAAAATCCTTAGGAAAAATGGAACAAAATGCAAAACATTGCTTCAAAGCCAGTGTGGGCAAGCGATCATAGCTGAATTTTATTATATCCAAGATCCCCTTCTCCTTTTCCGGTGAATCCCAAACACTATTCTCTATAATTGCCTGCCACTCATTCAACCGCATACACCCTATAATTCTTGCAGCTAGTGGAACGCCTTTACACCTTCTAGCAATCTGTATTCCAATTCCCTCTACCGCCTCAGGTACCGAATTGTTTCCAAATGCTCTCTGCTTGATTATACTCCAGCACTCATCGTCCTTTAATAGGCAGGGACGGTGGATGTGTTCATCGGTAAGTGCCATTAGTGATGCAACATTTTCAAGCCGGGTTGTCACAAGCACCTTACTCTTACTCCCCTTATTTTCACTTATTCCCAACAAGCAATCCCTTAATTCCTCCCACATTTGTCTCTCCTCATTCCAAACATCATCTAGTATGAGAAGATAATTTTTCTTCCCCAACTTCTCTTGTAGTTCCTTCATCACTATATCTTTGCTTCCAAAATCCCCATCACCACTGCTACTTCCACTGCAAGACTTCAACATCTCCATTAAAATCTTTTTGTCATCAAAATTTTCAGACACACAAACCCACATTTTATTATCACCGAAATGTTCTCGTATTTTTTCATTTTTAAGCACTGCTTTTGCTATAGTGGTTTTGCCAAGACCTGCCATACCCACTATAATCATGACAGGGAGATCATGCTGACTACTTGAGTCAACCAACAAGCTGACCATTTTAGAGACATCTTCCTCTCTTCCAAAAACTTGGGATGAAAGAAAAGAGTGGGTCTCTCGGCCTGCCCTGCCTCTGGGTTCAGGAACCATGTCTGCAAGTTTGTATTGCAGTCCCAACTGATGAGCCGAGGAGTTGATATCAGCAAGTCTTTTATTCAAATCCGCAACTCTATTAGCCATTTCCTGGCGAAATAGCAAGGGCGAGGGGTCAGGCAGAGTTAAGCGCCTGACCTTTGATTTCTTAACTTCCCGCTGCATACCTTCATAAGCGACCTCCTCCAGTATATCATCAGCCTCATCTGCAATATCTCGAAGATCCTGGAGCCACGACTTCAGAGCAAGGTGGCCACTGACGTTCTTTTCATGAGCATCTTGTAAGAAACCTCGGAGCCTCATCATTGTCCTATGAAATTTTTTCAGCTCCTCTTCCCATCCCAGTGCTAAATTGACCTGATCAGAAGCAAAAGCAGTCACCAGATCAGAAGCAACAGCAGTCACCTTCGACACAGCGGCTGCTACGATGGAGCCAAGGATGGAGTCACCCATCTTTGTTTGAATAATTTGGAGAAGAGAATAGATTGGAAATCTGTAGCAAAAAGAAAAAGAATATGGGAAATGCTGAAGATATATATTGATGCAAGACTTTAAAAAGAGGATGTATAGAATGGTTAATTGATAGATACTTATTTTTTTTATTAATTATTGAGGATATACCTAAATTATGCCTTTATCGGATAAAGTTAAGTTTTATTAATTATAATATTTGTAATTAGTTTTATATATTTTTTAATATAAATTTATATTTTTATTATAAATTTTAAATAAAAATATTATATTATATTTTAATTTTATATTTGATTTAATTAAATTTAATATAAAAATTTATATAAAATTAATTAAAATAATACATTTAATAAAATTTAATCATAGCTTTAAAGGGAAAAAATTAAAAGTTTTTAATTATTAACTATCAATAATTGATGAGAGAGTCTTGGTGCGTCCGAAAGTATGTTCCGCGGCCAGGATTAAGAAAAAAAGTATTAAAAAATTGTTTTATATTTTATGGAGGAAAGTTAGGTTGAATCAATTATCTGTATGGAAAATTTACCTTACGAGGGATTCCTTTCACAGTTCACACCTACGATTTTATAAACTACTGCCTAAAATTAATCCAACCGATTTTACAAACTACTTTTTCTATATCATTCTACATGAGTCATAATTAAACCAGAACACAGTTACACTTAACCCAACACATGAAACATGCTCGGCAGCCTAATCACTGGTGGCCGGGTTTGGTGATTAAAATTTGTAAAATATTAATTTAATTTAATTTAATTTAATTAATAAAAAATAATTATCAATTATTAATTAGTAAATAATTATAATTATAATTATTTATTAATAAAAAAATTAATATTTATTAATTAATAAATTAATATTTTAAATACTATTTAAAAAAATTAAAAATCTTAACATTTTCAATGGGCAATAATCACACCCCATCACTAGTGTGGTAATACATTTTTTGTACAAGATTTTTTGGTAGATTACCCCTTTTTTGGCATGAAGGTTGTTTTTTTATTGTCGTTTTTGCCTTGATTTTTTTTTTTTATATCTAGATGGACTATACAAAAAAGATAACCTTTTTTTTTTTCTAAATTTCTTATCACCCAACTCAAGATTCGAATTTTATATTTATTATACTTTTTTGCCAACGGTTTTGACATTTATAAATGGTACAAGAATAATAATAATTAAGATTAATTTTTAAAATTAAAATTTAAAATCATTTTTTAGTAACCATTAATTATATTGGAATTTCATAATTAAAAATTACCATAATTAATAGTTAAAAAAGTTTCATCGAAGAATATTCATTGTTCAAATTTCGTCCAAAAATCAGTTAGTCACAGCAATTATGGATTTCTTTTTTCCAATAATATTTTTAGTAATATCACCCG